CCCTCCCTCCTCTCCCCCAACCTCCCTTCAAGATGCCGGTTTTTTCCAGTTCAAGGCGGGGTCGAAGGTCGGCAAAGGCACTGACAACCCAGTGAGCCTGGGAATCAAACTCAACCTCACGGCCTGAACTGGAGAGAATCCCTTGGGGAAGACTCTGTAGGCGAACTCTGGGGGGCAGCGACGGACGGAGCTGGGATGGGAGTTGGTCAGATCGATGTGTACGGTTTCACGAAAAATGGGCGTGGGGTGGTCATCCGTCAGAGCCAGTGGTGAGCACGCACCGTACATTTAGTCAGGTCCTAGTGCTTGACCGTTTTTTGACTTCTTGTTCGTGAACGAGTAGGAAGGCATTAGTGAAGTTCTTGGGTGCAATTTTGACTCGTTTATGGTAGAGGAATTGGTAGCGTCCAGGAAAGACTAGGTCCAGAAAGTCGACGAGTTCTTGACTGGCGCATAGTTTGCCGGGTACGCCGTTTGACTCCATGAGATTGCCGGCGAGTACGTCAAGCCCCCAGATGTCGTAGCGGATGCGTCCGGATCCTATCACACCTCCCACGCATTTTCCAAAGTGTAGGCCGATGCGCATGTCAAGTTTTGGTATTTGGAGCTTGTCACGTACAAAGATGATATCCTTCACCATGCATTGACCAAGTGCTATGATGCGTTCTGCGCCGTCTGCGGGGTCAGCGGTGGATGCGGTGGAGGCTTCTGCGTCGATGACGGGTTGCGAGATGGCTACGTATGCGTCGCCGATGGTGCAAACTTTGAAGACGCCGAAACGCGAACTGTCGCGGTCAAACTTTGCGAACAGCGACTGCAGCACGGTCACCACCTCGCCTGCGTCTACTGTGTCCGCCCAGGTCGTGAATCCGCAGATGTCCGCGAAAATAAACGTGATTCGCGAATGCATGTACGCCAGCCGCAGACGCTCCGAGCTGAGTTCGTCATAAACCTGTCTTGGCAACGTATCTCTTAACAGCTGTAGACCACGCGCCTGAGCCGCCTTCATGGTCTCATTGACCACGTACGAATGCCGATCCACATACTCCTTGAAGTACACACTCACCAAGTTCGCGACCGTGAAAATGGGAATCATGAAAATCGTCTCGTACGTGACGTTGCTGCCCTGACACACCACGATGATGAAGGCCAAAACCAAAAGGTTAACGAACGCATCGATTAACAACAAGTGCTGCACCAATAGCCCTGAGTTCTGGTGCGTTATGGTCGTAAAGAAGAAGAGCTGCAGCGTGTCCAGGTGCAGCCAGACCGGCGATACTCCTTCCGGAAAGTCGAGACTCCAAGCCGACTCAAGCAGTACGGCGAAGCTGGCGGACAGACAGACCATGTTCGTGAGAAAGATGAGCCACCGGATGTCGACAGCGCCTCCCACTCCGGCGCACACACGTGCGTCCGTGGCACCGGCGCGGCCGCGCGCACGACGAGAGGGACGCATCCAATTACTCACAGTGGTGCGTTGGTGAATGAGTAGCCAGAGGACGAAGATGCAGGCGGTGAGAGTGGTGCGCACAGTCCAAGTTATATTCTTTTGTTGCGAGCTAGAGCTGTCGTCATAACGGGGAATAACGATGAACACAAGCGTCTGGGCAATGTAGGCAGCGAGGAAGATCACGAGGGCCTGTTCGACGTTGTTGATATTGTTGTCGTTGTTGTAATAAAACTGCAGGTATTCCTTCTCCAACGTACCGCGTTTAAACTTTAGCGAAACTAGGTGAATGGACTGGTAGAAAAGTAGTTCATGGTCGCCAGCAGCCTCCACAACTCGCCGCGGCCCGTCTTCGAAGCACCGCTGACCCTCTTCCGAAGGTTGCGCGCCCACATAGCAATCACCGCGATCAGAGAAAGCGGCCACGCTCGGCTCCGTCGCAGTGGCGCGAGCCGCTCCTTCACGCACTACTTGTTCTACGCCGCGTGAGACTCCACCGCTGCGCGACACTCCTCCTCCGGGCCCGCCGCCGCGTGAGACTCCACCACTGCGCCGGCGTGCAGGTGTTGCATGCCTCGCAACACTGCAATGTCGGGCGCCAGTCGCATCCAAAAAGTGTTCGGGAATACTCGAACGACTCAACAAATGCGTATTCATAAGCCCCTTCCCCTTCACCTCGATCTCTCGACTCCGCCAATCCAGGTCCCACTCACTTCCCGAGATCAACTGGTAAAACGCGTCCGACACGTGGATGTGATCAGCCACTCCTGTACTCATCATGCGACTCGCCGTATTCACGGTGTCCCCGAACAACGCGTACTGCGGCTTTTTTGCGCCCACCACTCCACTGATCACACGCCCAGCGTGGATACCCACCCGGATGTGCAGCCGCCGCGAACGCCGACTATCCTCGTCGGGCACGTATGTAATGTGTCGGCTCGACTGCAACGCCAGCACACACATGCACAACGCTGCGTGCGCGTAGTCTTCAATCGCGCGCGCACGCGCACGCGTGTGCGAATGGCCCCGACGCCGCTCTTCGCCCGGCGCCGCCGGCTCCGCCGGCGGTTCGCCGTCGCCTCCAGCGTCGTCGAGTACGATGCCACTGGCGGCAAGGAAGGTCTCGAAGACTGTCTCGATTTTGATGCAGCTGAAGCGTTCCGCGCACTTGTCGAAGCAGAGGAAAAGCGAGTCGAGTACCCGCACGAGGTGGGTAGGCTGCATTTGTGCGACGATGGATTGGAACCCGTGAACGTCTAGGAAGATTACGCTGACCGTGCCGCGGTCTTCAGCTTTAAGGCCCTCGGGGATGCCGTTACAGTTGAGGTTGCCTTTGATCATGTGACTCACCACGAAGGGTGGGAGCATATTGTTAAGAATCTCGATCTGCCGTTTGCGTGCCTTTTCTACTTGGTACTGAAGGAAGTATGCCTTGCGTCGGTTGTACTCCAATCTGTAGGCGGCAAAGCCAGTAAAAATCTCGATGCCCAATAAGACCGGGACGTAGGTAATCAGACGCTCAACGGTGATGTTCTCCATGCTGCTCGCGAGTCGGAACCCGGTGGACTTACCACCGTCTGTGGCAGCCTGACTGGAATTGACGAGCCAGCTTGAGCTGTTGAGCCAGGATGAGTCGCTAGCCTCCTTCATGAACTTCGAAGTGAACGTGTAGCGGAGACAAAAGGAAAAGAAGTGCACACAGTTGTACACCAGCGAGTGGCTGAAGGGGAGACGGAAGAAGATGAAGAGAATGATTACATAAACCGCCGCTATCGGCGAACCATCGCGATTGGTGAATGTGTCGCTCAAAACTTGGGCGCAAAGAAGACCAATCACAAAAGTCCCCGTCAAAGTGTCATATTTGGTCACGAAGGTTGATTCACGATAGCAAGCAGCGGAGAGTGCTAAACACACAATGTATGGCAGGAACATCATGATCGCCCCACCCGTCGTTACGTCGCTAGACACCATGAACATCTCATCGATCACGGTCGCGATGCAGATGACGGAGATGGCCAGAAAGATGAGACGATAACTTACTCGGTACCGGCGTATGTGTTCCATACGGTGCACTTGGTAGTCGGCCTCCAGTTGTTGGTCCTTGAACTTCAACCGACGACGATCGAACACGGCAATGACTTCAACCGGCGTCACGGACGTCACGATGCCCTCCTTAGTTTTACGAATTACTGGCGCCGTCTCAAGATGCTCCCCCTGGGCAGACTTGACCAACTGCTCGTACATGCCGTCCTCCACCAGAATCGACCACGGCTCCTTCTTCGGCCCGCGCTTCAGCGATGACCGGATCAACTTGAGACTATATGGCGCAAACAGCAGATCACTCGGCGGCGGCCGTCGTCGTCGTGTCGGCGGCGACCGGCCTGCCGTGGGCCAATGCACCGCAGCACTCGCCACGTCCAATGCGTGCGTGAATGGCAGCGCCACCTGGCTCCGGGTGCCATTGCTCTGATGGTACTCGATCACGTGTCGTGTCGGCTTCGGGAGAAGGGCTAGCAGTCGCGGGACCTTGAGCGGGTTCAGGATTTGGCGCAACTGCCCCACGTACCGCGCCTCCGACCTGTCTGTCCAGCCGCGTCGCTGAGGCTTGCCCTCGCCTGAGTTTGTCGGCGGGGCACCGTGCGTCGGTTGTGTGTTAGGTGCACCGCCGTGCGCCGCATGTGTCGCACCGTGCGTCGCTTGTGTCGCACCGTGAGTCGCAACATGTGCCGGTTGACTCGCGCCGTGCGTGCCGTGCGTGTGTGCGTGTGCCTTGTGTGCGAGTCGTGCAGGCGAGACGGCGCGGATGAGGAACTCACGGAGCGAGTCGGAGGTGTTGAGGCGGATGGACTGGAGCAGTTGCGCGAGGACGGCGTGCATGGCCAGCGTGGCCAGGATGGCGAGAGGCGTGGGGGCGCTCTTGGTCCAGAGGAAGAAAGGATTTTGTTGTGGCACGGAGTTGACGGCGAGGCTGGAGAAGGTGCTGAGTAGGTCGCAGAGGAAGAGGGTGAGGAGCACGAAGACGCCGAGGAGGAGCCAGACGGAGAGGTCCAGACGCGCGACGGGTCCGGCGACGAACACGCCGTAGACCATGGCGCCGGTGAGCAGGATGGTGTCGACGATGAAGTGGTAGCGCGGGAAGGAGGCGAACACGGCTGCGTCTGGCCCCCCATTCCCGCCATTTCCGGGTTGGAGTGAGATGGAGAGTTGTTCGTTAACAAGAGCGACAGCGGAGTAGAAGGCGACGATTGCGACGAGACATGCGTAAGTGAGGTCGGCAAGCACAGCCTGCCATTGCAGCCCACTTGAGCGACGCGAGATGGCGTAGATGATGGGCAGATGGCAGTAGGTCACTTTCGAAAAGTCGCGCGGCGAAAGCGTGAGTGCGATCGCGAAAAGACCCACGCAACAGAACTGCTGCACGGACACCGTGCACGCCCGCGCCACATACGTGCCCTGTCGTGTGGCGTCTAGGATCACACACACTAGCCGTCCGACAGCTGACACACACGCGAGGCGCAGCACGAGTGCGGTCGCACAGGCTACGTGTTGTCCGTGGTAGAAGAGCAACGGCCGAAGGGAGGCGAAGTCGGGCACGACTAGATCTGCGAATACACGCGAGTCGAACGTGCCTGTGTACGAATGTCCGGTCAAGTAAAGGTCTTCGGGACAGTGCGCTAGCTCCGCACCCACCGAGACGCCCAACGTGCTCTCTCGCAACATCTCCACATCATTCAGTCCGTCGCCCACCGCCAGGATCACAGGACACGGACGAAGGTGTCGACGCAACACCTGCGCCACCTGTCCCTTCTGCCGCGCGCTAAATGAGTGCAATAGCACCACGTCCGCACGCCAAAGCATAGAGACCAACACGATCTCCATGTTCTCGGCGTGTACCCGTGTGTGCGGCAACAATGCGTCCCAACTGAGTGCGTCCGAGCCAAGCGTCGCGGCGCTCGGCCCGAGCGGCGAGCCGCTCGACCCGGTGGCGGCGAGGGCGCCGCCGGAGGCGGCGCCTTCGCGAAGGGCGCGTGCGAATTCTTCACCGGCGAGGACGAGTGCAAGTTGCGTGCCGCTTGGTTTTTCTTGCGCTAGACGTGCGAACTCTTTATGTTGAGCGAGGGCGGCGCGACGGCTGGAGAAGTTAGCGCGGAAGATGCGTGTTTCCGGACGCACCAGACCACAGGCACAAGCGGCGGCGAAGGTAACTTCCTCTGCATCACCACTGACCACCCAAGTGCGGATGCCGGCGTCGGAAAAGGCCTGGAGGGTGCGAGGTACCCGTGGCTGTTGTGCGACGTAGTAGGCGTTGACCCCGAGGAAGCGACAGCCTGCCACTAGTTCTGCATTGATGCCTTCGATAATCTCCGTTTTCGTTTCATTGGCGACGTTTGCGAGGGCGAGGACGCGTCGTGAGAGCAGCCGTACTTCGCGCTCGCGAAGGAGTCGGTAGCCGAGACATTCCGGCATGAGGCCTCGTAGCAAGAACTTGTTGGCGAACTGGTTCAGGGCATAGTCGGTCTCCCTCAACTGTTCGTGTGCCGCTTTGCTGTGTGCGGCAACGGCGTGCAGCATTCCGCGCAAGCCGCATTTGAAGAACATGACGCCGCCGCGGGCGCTGCGGGCGCCCGGGACGCTCTGTTGCAGCACGACCACGGTCGAGCGGCCGTTTAAATAAGCATCTGACTTGTAGATGCGGTCGTATTTCAGGAAGTGCCCGTTGACATTAAGCGTTACGAACTTTTTACACTTCGAGAATAATTGGTAACCACACTTCTGGGCTGCCAAGACTGCGGGTACCTCTGTGGCCTTGCCTGAGTCGTAGCGTAGGCCCTGCACCAAAGCCTCGCGCACAATCGCTGCGCCTTCTAAACTTTTTGCAGAAGGCTTGTTCTTGAAGTAAGCCGTCGGGTCCCGCGTTCGCGCGCGGTGAAAGTCCCGAGCTACCGTCACGCTATTGCACACGGCCAAGCCTTTCAAATATATGTCCAACAGGTAACCTTGATGACCACCTGCACGTAGGTCTCGTAATAAAGCCGCGTCTTCAAATGGCACCAAGTCAGCCACAGCGACGGGAAAGAAAAATGAGGCCCGTCTAGCCGCCTCCTGCCGGGTAAACACTTGCTCCTCCAACGTACTCTTCGTCTTGAAGTAAGACGACGGAGCCACTCCTGCCGTCGGCAATTCACTCTTGCACAATCGCTCTTCGCACTCACGCAAACGACGCAATCTCCAAGACTGCTGCGCCGCCGTCCCCATGTTCGTACTACAACGCCAACGACCACGCGGCGAATCACCCAACCAACTATCTCCACGAGGCTCCGTCCCGTCCTCCGTTAAATTTATAGTGCCGTTCGTCGGAACCCGCAACGGCTCCGCACCAGGCAAATCCAACCGAGGCGCCGCGTTCGAATCCAGATCACGCAAATCCAAACTCGCCACCGCCACACGACTCGAAGGAGACACACGGCGCACTCCACAAGACGACTGAGAACGCGATTGGCACTCAGAATGACAAGGTCCAGAATGCGACAGAGATCGAGATACTGATCGAGATACTGATCGAGATACTGATCGAGATACCGATCGAGATACTGATCGAGATACTGATCGAGATAAGGATCGAGATAAGGATCGAGATAAGGATCGCGAGAGAGATCTTGACTCGGTTCCTGACCCAGATCGGGACCTGGACCTTGATCGGGATTGTGAAGCCGATCGAGATTGTGAAGCCGATCGAGATTGTGATAAGGAATGCGATCGAGATTGTGACCGGGACTGCGATTGGGATGTTGATCGCGATCGGTCAGAGGGAGGGCGGCGTCGTGGACAGTGGTGCCTGCGGGGTATTGGATCGTTGGAGCTTGACGAGGTCTGGTCGTCGAGTTGGGGTCGGGGTTCGAGGTAGCGTCTTGAGGAGGAGGTTCGGCGTCTGGAGGAGGAGTCTTGGGGAAACGGGCCGGAGTTGGCATGGGGGCGCTGGGTTTCGAACCCGGGGTTGGCCGCTCTGGAGTGGAAGCCGCCGGCGGGGGGGACGAGTTCGGAGAAGGAGCGGCCGCGAGCTCCGGGCGGCGGGGCCGAAGACGAGGTGTCTTCAAGGCGGTCGGAGGCGCGCGGAACGCGGCGGCGAAGCCGCCCGCGGAACCGTTTGCGGCTCCCAGAGGAGGCCGACACGGACCGGACCAATGGCGACGGGGCGCGATGGGATTCGAACGCGGGACTGGCGGGTCTCGAGTGGAAGGGCGGTCGCGCAAAGGGCGACGTGGGCAACGAGCCGGACAACGGGCCTGCACGCGGAGAACCCGGCCCCGAACCCACCGATGCACGGGGCGAACCAAATGCGAACCGTCCTCCGTAAAACGGTTCCGCATCCAACGGCTCGAAACGTTGGGCCATTGAACTGATCAACCGCCCCGCATCGAAACAGTCTTGGCGAACTCGAGACTCGCCACCCCCGCGGCGGAACTCGCGAAAGTAGATACCCGTTCCTGTCGGCATTTCTGGCCGCACGCCGGTGATAAGCTCGCCACGGCTGGCCGCAAGTTCGCCCCGACTGGTCGTCACCTTCTCTCGACTTTCCTCCCAAGTCGTTTCCCCCCGTGTCGTTTCGCCACGGGCTGTTTCCCCACGGGTAAGTTCGAGTGCCTGGGGGAGAAGAGCGCGCGCGTCGAGACGGAGCCGCGCGACCATGCGGCGGTCAAGCTCGGAGCCGGCGCGTCGACGCGCGGGTATGGGCTCCTCCTCTTCCTCGCTGGGCGACGGCTGTCCGTGGGCACGGGTGGATTCGGACGCGGGGTTGGAGGCTCTAGAGTGGAGGCGGCTGGGCGGCGGCTGGCCGTGGATGGCTTCGGTCATTATCCGGTCGAGGCCTCGGCGTTTGATTTCTTCGGCGCAGCTAGCCCGACGCAAGAGCCGTCGCGGTTGGTCGGCGGAGCCGCCGAGTTCATCGCTGGTCGCGCGACG